GGTTCAGTCACACAAGTAAAAATAGGACACATACCTCCTTGCATCTGTCTTATGGCAACATTTATGGCAGGTTTTATTGTCAGTGTGTATGCTCGACAGTTTCACTTTGTTTTCACTTTGAAACAAAACTCCCCAAAAACAAAGTGAGACAATTTTATCTGATTGAATAAAATCAGTATTGACAAAGAGGTGGCTGAGGTAGATCAGGTCATCTGCTAATCGGAAGGTTGGTGGTTTGATTTCTGGCTGCTCAGATCTGCAGACCAAATATCCTCGGGTAAGATCAATGTGAATGTGTGGATTCTTAGAAAGCACTTAAGCATAGAAAAAGTGCTTGTATGAGTCCATTAGCATTTACAGAGTTTAACCCTCTGGGTCATAGATATACCTTTAAAATTATTTCAGATTAAAAAACTGACTGACTTTATAGGTATTTTTTAATTTTGACATAGTGTATTACCCTAAAATCACACAAAAACAAAACAAAAAGATAGATTTCTTACTATGAAAACCACAAACATGTTTAACAAATCAGTTTTCTCTTCAGCCATTAAATGGACAGGATTTTGTAATTCATACCATAATTGCATTGTTACCTGACACAGTGCTCTGGTAACTGTTGGGACACGTTTACTTACATACATATACATCCACATGTACAATGCAGCTCGATTTAGCGCCAGTGTTTCTGCCGTGATCAGCTTTCCAGCTGCCTCCACGCTCCTCTCCCGTCCCTGGCGTCACTAAAAAAGGGAAAAAAGTTCATCCACCTGATTACCTCGAGTCCGCTGTACCACCTATCCCCTGCAGCAGAGACAAAGACTGGGCAATGGCATTTTTTAAATAACTATTTACAAAACAATCAGGTGTCACAATAAGAATCCACCCAAATTATTTATGCCACTCCAAAAAGTAGTTCCTGTCATAAACAGAAAAACTAAACTGTAAAGGTGGTGAGTTGTGCCACTGTGGAAAATGGTAAACACTTATGGTAATGGGGTGAGACATTCAGAAACCTCTTTCTTCACTCAAATCGCATGTTTATTTCCTGCTAGGATCCCCGCTGGTGAAGAATCTAACTGGTGCCATCCTTCAGCTCAGTGAGTCTGGTGAGCTAACATACCTGCGTGAGAAGTGGTGGGCCAGCAGCTGTGTTGGCACTGGTGGAGCCCACATCTCCGAGGCCCTGCAACCCTATGACTTACGGGGCCTGTTCCTCCTCCTGGGACTGGGTCTGGGCATCGGGCTCCTGCTAGCTCTGCTGGAGCTCTTATCAAGAGCCCACAACCAAGCTAAGGATGGCAAGGTAGGAAAGAATATCACAATGTAATCATGGCATGGAATGTTTTTATCCTGTAACATTTCTTCTGTTCTTTGGCAGAAATCCTGCTGCTTGGTGTTGACATCAGAGCTGAACCGGAGGTTTGGCAGTGGAGGGGAGAGCACAGAGCACGACACCTCAGACAAAAGCAAAGCCTAAAGAAGAAGCACCACGTTGTCATTTGATAAGATAGTGTTAGAGAAGTGAACAAGCTGAGAGCGTTCTGTATTTCCTTAGTAACAGTCGCATATTGTGTTGTATTTCAGTGGGTTTTATACTTTGTTGCCCAATTTGAACAACTACCAGCAGCAGCATTTTAAGCACCAAACCCACGGGTATATTTCAGACTTAATATTATAATCAGTCTGTCTTGTTAGCTGTTTAGCGTTGTTTTATTATCACATATTTACATCTCACTTCTAACACCTGAAGTTCTTCTGTCACAGTTGTAACCTGATCTTACTATTTGCTTGTATATTCCAAATAAATACTCCAATATCCTGCCTGCTCTGTTTTTGAGTGTATACAACTTTATTGTTCATTGTAGAGAGGAGTTTCATTTATTAGAGCAAACATTAACAACACCTAGGGCCTGTACTAACAACCAAGTTCAACATATCCAGGACATCCAGCCTTTCCTCATCTTCATCCAACACATGAGAGGCAAAACAGAGAGCCAGCCTGCACCTCGGTCAAAAAAAAAAAAAAAATCACTACGATAAGGCTTGGGAACCTAGAAGGGAAACAAGTCTGAGCATTTTATTTTTTCTGTTGGCTGGCACCACAAATAAAACCCTGGGACACCATCACACCACTAGTACAAACACAAAAACATCAAGTTGCAAAAACAGAGAGAGAGGAGGAGAGAAATTCCCACAGACCCCGACACCTGACCCAGAGGCAGAAGTCACTGGCAGAGGCCTTAGAGTGCAGCAGATGACATCCAAGACGATAAGAGTTGTGAAAGTGATATTTTATTTGTCTTTCACTTTAGTTCATATAAGTGCAATGGCTCATTTGTTACTGTAGCTAACTCAAAAAGTAAAATTTTAGACTTCTTTGTAACCTTTACTGCCAGAGGATGATATGTGGTCATAGTTGCTCCAAGACTGTAAGATCAGTAACTACTAAAGTAAATTAAATAATAAAATACTAATAGATTGTAGTGTGAAATAATCGTCACCTGAAATGGTTTCCAACAGTCTTGAAGGAGTTCCCAGAGATGATGAGCACTTGTTGGTCCTTTTGCCTTCACTCTGCGCACCATCTCATCCCAAACCATCTCCACTGGGTTTACGTCAGGTGACTGTGAAGGCCAGGCCATCTGGTGCAGCACTCCATCACTCTCCTTCTTGGTCAGACAGCCCTGACACAACCTGGAGGTGTGTTTGGGGTCATTGTGCTGTTGGAAAATCAATCATGGGATGGCATGTCGCTGAAGGATGCTGCGGTAGCCATGCTGGTTCAGTGTGCCTTCAGTTTGGAATAAATCCCCAACAGTGTCACCAGCAAAGCACCCGCACACCATCACACCATCTCCTCCGTGCTTCACAGTGGGAACCATGCATGTAGAGACCATCAGTTCACCTTTGTGGAACCAAACATCTGAGATTTGGACTCATCAGACCAAAGCACTGATTTCCACTGGTCTAATGTCCATTTCTTGTGTTTCTTGGCCCAAACAAATCTCTTCTGCTTGTTGCTTTTCCTTAGTCGTGGTTTCTTAGCAGCTATCTGACCATAAAGGCCTGATTCACACAGTCTTGTCTGAACAGCTGATGTAGAGATGTGTCTGCTACTGGAACTGTGTGGCCAAAGGTTTGCATCGCTGTCAACATAGCAAAGGGTGGTAGTGTTAGAAATCTAACCCTAATGATGTTGTGAGCCCTGGTAAGGTAGTGCTTTATTGCAATGTCCTTAATCGGAGAGAGTGAAGTACCGATAATTTATGCTGTTGTCCTCACCCCTGCCTGCAGGGATTTCGAGTCAGAGGCACTGCGGGCTCCCGACCAGAATGAGAAGTGGCACGTCAGAATAAATTCTATTTCCTAACTGAATCGTGCAGCTTCTGAGAAGAGAAACTAATTCCTCAGGATCACGATGCACTACTTTGGTGAAAAAACAATGCAGCAACATTTCCCTCTCTGAGCAACACTGACTGACTGACTGAGACATTTTTTTTTCAGAAGCAGGACAGTTACTAAGTCATAGCTGACGTGCAATAAAAAGGAAAAATGTGAACATGATACTGTTCCTGAACAAAATCCTCTAAACAAAACCTCTGTTCTTCACTATTTGGTGTTTTGTTTGAAGTATTTTTTTTAAAGGCAAAACAAATAGCTTAGTGAAAGGGAGAACATTTTTTTTTAATATTTGTATTGTATTACCTAAACAGTTATTCTACCTACTGCTCTGCTTTTGTTGCTATACTTAAACAAAAAAACTAAAGTAAGATAACAAAGTATTTTCTATTTATTTAAAACTTTGCCCAAATTCTGTCCTGGCTTTTATCTAATTAATAATCCAAGGGGGAAGCTCCCCCTTTAATATATTCTAAATACACTGGATACTACCTGCTCAGTACCAATCATTAGAAAAGTCATAGTGAGCATTAAACGACTGCAGAACCTGTTAAAAGTTAAAAAAGAAAAAGAAGTAAATAATAAACTTATTAAACAAAATTAACAAAAATTGACAAAAAAAAAGATTTCTTTAAAAAACATTCTCACTTAATTAAGAAATGACTATACATTGACTTTAATGTACTTTTTTTTTTTTTATCTTTCTTTAAATTTTTTTTTACTGATAAGGAAGTCTGTGAACCCAAATTACACTTTAATTGAACATTTTATGATCCTGTTTGTTTACTGATGGAGCCAGAAAAGCAAAGAAAAAAGAAGTAAAATCTATCAACATCACATTAAACATAAATCTGTAAAAGAAAAGTCTGGACTGAGTTTGCCTGACTGTATACGTGTGTGAAAGATTGCTGTAGAAAAAAGTTACAAAACTAACTTTCAGCACTGAAAGTTAAGTATTAATAGTATAATTAAGTACTTTTTTGTTTTTTCAGATTTGCCAGTTATATTAAATGTGAATTATTGAATTTGCAGAAGCAGACAAAAATAAAGGTTTTGTTACTTGGACACTGACAGGTTGAAACTTCAAAATGGTAAACAGAAGGGCTGTAAACATAGGTAAAACTATTTAAATTGGTTTCCCCACACCTCACTCTTTTGTACACAACCTGATATGGGCTGATATGACCACTTGGAGGTGCTACAAGATTGTTTTTGCTGTGAAGCTCAGCAGGATTTGACTCATGCAATCCAATGCTTTTGTGAGGTGGAGTAAAGAACTGCAACTCAGTATGTAAAGACAGTATCAAAGACAGGGAATAGGATTGGATCTTTTGCTCTAGTTGATCAGATTGAATCCTTGCACGTAACA